CACACCCACACCCACACCCACACCCACACCCACACCCACACCCACACACTCATACCCACAACCACACTCACACCCTTGACCCATTTTTGTACTAGCGAAGAATCGAGTTTGAGTTACTTTTCGCAAAAATACACTTGTAAGACTCAACAAAATTCTGATAAATACTATGTAAATCGATAGAGAAATCAATGCTCTATTCAGGTATATATCAAAGAAAAGAAGATTAGATGTTTGAAAAACTGAAATTTCTCCGAAAAAAGTGGAAAACCATATGTGAAAAAAAAGTTCACAAAAAAGTTTCTGAGAAATTCACTAAGTTTATAGTAGAAATATGAAATAGGCCAGTCGAAAAATATGTAGTTCAATTAGGAATGTACTGAGACCGAGACTCTCGGTCTCGATGTTTATGAATATTGGTCTCGCATACAATTAACTTCTAATTCGTTTTTTATCGCAGGTAAGCATTATATTCACTCTCGGTCGAAATTATTATTTTTTCAGTTTTTTGATCGAGACTAACCGAAACCGAGACTACCCGCAACGAGAGTCTCAGTCTTGGTACATCTCTAAGTTCGATAGAGATACGAACAGTCTATTTTTCTATATAAAAAATGAAAGGTTTGAGTATCCGAGTAAATAATAATCATCGAAAAAACTATCTCAGAAATCATGCGAAAATTGCTACGAAAAAAAATTTTTCTGACTGCTTTTCGAGATTCATCAGTTTTGGACAAGATCCAAAGGAAATAAAACGAAAAATTTATGATTTGATAGAGTAGTGGATGCTCGATCCAACTATACCAAAATAGGGTGTGGGTGTGGGTGTGGGTCTGTATAAATGAGAAGATCTGCACCCGTACCAACACCAACATCTGCACTCATACCCAATTATATCCGCCAACAAACATACGCACATTCATACACACACGCACATCCGACACCCACACCCACACCCACACCCCTAGAATTGAATTGCAGCACTTTAAAATTTAATAGCCGAACTTACCTGAAGATGACCCTTAAGCAAGGTCGAAACCGGTCGTAAATTAGCTTGTGCTATTAAATAAAAATTTAATTGTATACACACCCACACCCGTTAGCCTATGTCGATTTCATGCGTGCTCAACGAGAATTCAGATTAGTCAAGTCTATTCGGCGAAAAGCACGAAAAGCAAAACTTATTATACGTGTATGTGATAAAGGAGGTGGTCTACATATTGGTAGTAAAAGTGATTATGAAAGAAAAGCAGCTAAATATCGAGAAGATACAAAAGCCTATCAAGAATTATCTTACAATCCATTGAAGGAAATGATAACGAATGTGACAAATGCACTTAATACTATGAAACAAAACAAAGAACTCTCAAACTATAACTACAATGGTTTGGTACCCAATCCAGAACTCGTCAACTTATCTTACATTTATTTTAATCCGAAGCCACACAAGATTCATCCACTCGTTGAATGTTTCGAATCGATAACAAAAATTTGTTTTCTTTTTTGTCTACTTTAGAAAGGAACACCATTACGACCGATCCTGAATACAATTAAAGCAGTGACAAGACCTATTTCTGATTTCTTAGATGAACTGATCCGACCTATCTATAACGAATATAATAAAGACAATACGTTTACTGAAGGTGTTGATCTCATCAAATGTCTTGAAAAATATGCAGCTGATGGCCATCTTAAACCACAGACTCTTTTCTGTACCTTTGATATCAATAATTTGTATACAATGTTACCACAAGATGAATCCATACGAATTCTAGGTGACTTTCTTCGTCAACATGTCGGTGAAAGAGTCAAAAGTGTCTCTGTTACGACCATTCAAAAATTAGCCGAATTTGTCCAGAAAGAAAATGCTTTTATATATGATAATAAATTTTATAAGCAAATTATTGGTGGTGCTATGGGTTCACCATTTACTTTAACTTTAGCTAATATTTTTATGTGGCATTGGGAAAAACGTTGGGTTCGACGACAACAAAGCAAAAAAGAAACTTATGGCCGGTATGTGAAATCTAAATTTCTTCCTAAAAAAACTAATTCTAATATTTTGTATTTATCGTTACAGATATATTGATGATGTCTTCTTTACTTCGAACGAACCTATCGAAACAGTTCAATAACTATTAAAAGATGCCAACGGATGGCATCCTAACATCAAATTAGAATGGAATATTGGTCATAGTGTATCATTTCTCGATGTTCTCATGAGCAATAACAATGGAGCTCTTTATACTTCTGTTTACCATAAACCATCAGCCGAACCATATGTAGTTCCATTTATCTCTGATCATCCTCGATATACATTTACAAATATTATACAAACGGCTCTTGTTCGAGCTATTCGATATTCATCGACATTTGAAGCATTTAATATTGAACGACGTGCTATACGACTCATGTTGTCATTAAATGGGTAAGTCTTCTTTCGGTTGACAACCACAGATTCATAGATTTTTCAATTACTTTTTAAGATATCCATCGATTTACATTGACCAACAATTTCGAAAAGTCCTCGGCTATTCTATTTCATCCACTTCGATCCTACCATTGATCGATAATAAAGGACAATTTTTTCAATTACGCAAAAAACTCATGGGTCAACCAACATCTCGACAATCACAAGTAGAAGGACGAATAGCACAATCTAAAGACGACAATGCAGAATATCCTGTCAAATAACCACTATTCACCATCACCACAACAGTCCCTACTATCACAACAGAGCAAGGCACAAAAAACAAATTTCAAGACAAAGTCATTATACACTATACCCATGAGAAACGATTTACAACTATGAAAAAAGATATGCATGCAACTTTTCATGAATCATTTAAATCCCTTGGCATTGAAGCTGTTCGACTCGTTGTGGGCCATCGAAATAGTCCCTCTTCACAATGTGAACTCATACGAAAGAGACCACATCCAAAACATCTCACGCTTAAAGGACAAGAAAGTAAGACCAACCACACCATTCACCACATGCTCCTAACAAATCGTTTTTTTCCCTTCCCCACACACACACTTTCCATTATTTTACTACTTTTTAGAAGCACAACGAGATGTAACCAACAATTCAAGACCAACTTCATAATATCAATAAAAACCAATGGCCAACACCAACCCAAAACAAAAAAAAACATTCTGAATAACTCTTTCTATACTCTTTATCCACCATCCCTCTCCCCTCTCCCTAAATGTATCCCTCTCTAAATTCGACATCGATCAGGTCCCCAAATAAATAAATTAAATACCACTGTCCAAAAATCCTTCCATCCCAAACGAATAACAAATTAAATATTTCTTCTAGATGAAACTATTAATAAACTCAAAACCGACGCAGCACAAACAACCTCACAGCGAAGCAAAAAAAACCGCTTAACCGCACTGAACAGTCAAAAATCTCAAGATCAGAACATAGCATTACCACATCCACAAAATAACCAACGACAGCCATCCAGTAACAAACCAAAACCAAGAAGATACTAAAAAAAATTTCATTTCTACAGATACGCCAATAAACAGAAATTCCACGAATAAAAACCAATTACATCAGCCAAACCACGCAACATAAAACAGAACGATCACACCCCCACACAATATAATAGTGCAGAAAAGAAATGTCGACATTATCGTGGCTCCTACACACCACTGTAAATTCAATCTATTATAGCTCTCTTCGGAGTAGCTACAGTATAGATTTAGAGCTCGTTTCTGATTCATTTATTTGAATCGAGACGACTGCCATCTGATGATTCTCGTTGCGGAGATGAAATGTCGACATTATGGTTGCTCCTACACACCTTCATCTTCAGAGAATAGGATAGTTAACTGAAACTACTTAGGACATACCAAAAGTAGTTGCGTCCGCATCTCAATTTCTTATAGAAGGCTTGAGTAAATTTTCTTTTTTTATGAGATGATAGAGAAAACGAAGCTCTATTTTTCTGTGCTATTCCATTCTATTTAACTGGTATCATAATAACAGAATTTCGATAAGAACTGTTTTTGTGTAAAACTTCACTGACGCATGAGGCAGATTAAATATTTGAATCGCTTAATACGTTGTATTTAAAAAAAAAATATGCCAAATGATGCAGCGTGAAAAGCTCTACAATTTACATAAGATGGCTTTTTTTACAGTTGTACTTTTTGTTTTCAAAATGAGCAAAATTTTGAGTGACCCAGTTTCGAACGTGCGAAAACAATAGTTTTTGATGTAAGATGAGTTCATTTGTTCTTATTTCATCTTTTTGTCATCTAATATCCTTTATTTAAAAAAAACAAAATATATCACAAGATGCGGCGTGAAAAGCTCTACAATTTACATAATAAAGCTTGTTTTAATTATGTCGCCTTGTCAAAAGAAAACAAAATTCTGTGTAATCAACCTTCGTTGCCCGAAAAAAATCATGGAAAGAGAAATTTGTTTTTACTTATTTCAAATACAAAATAAACTGTTCTTTATAAATTGTAGAGCTTTTCACGCTGCATCTTTTGGTATCTTTTGTTTTTAAGTATAACGTATTAAATGATTAGAAATTGGAATAGAAAGTGTACTAATGCACTAGTGTAGTTTTACGCAAAAACAGTTCTTATCGAAATTCTATTATTATGATACCAGTTAAATAGAGATGAAATAGCACAGAAAAATAGAGCTTCGTTTTCTCTATCACCTCATAACAAAAGAAAATTTACTCAAGCCTTTTATAAGAAATTGAGATGCGGGCACCACTACTTTTGGTATCCCCTAAGTATTATAGGATGAATGTGGGTGTGGGTAGAGTTTAGGTCAAGAGAACACCCACACTCACACCCGATACAGAAATGCGAATATTACTCAAAAATTCTGTTCTTTTCAAAATGTCCTATGCGTTCATCATATCCTATTCAAAAGAATATTTTGAGCATCCAATTAAAAACTTGTTTTTCTTCTTTCACATGTCTTACAACATTTTGAAAGGAAAATAATTTTAATCAAAATATTAATGCATACAAAGATCGATACTATTAGCAGTTTTATAATGTAGCTGAAGAGAATTTCCCAGTTTTTGATCATATTTCAGGTGTAGTTACTCAACTAGAGCATTTGATGAATGAATTGCTCCTTGATATTTTTGATTATATTGACATTCAAAATTTGTATCGTGAATTTTGGGGACTTAATTTACGATTCAATTATCTTCCTCTTCGATCAAATCAAGATAGGTCTTTGATTTTCGATGAGAACAGTGATTCATCACTAATTGCTTTATGCGCACCTCAACTTCGTCGATTGGCAATCGATACTCCGAATCATTGCCGTCTAAATCAATTCTGTAATTTTTATTCGTTGACATTACACAATCGAAATGAAATTCATGTGGCTTAGATTCGACTTGTTCTTCTTCCCAATTTAGTTCATATTTCATTCGCATTAGAGTCTGACTTTGAGCCACAGACAGAACTTGTTCAAGCTGTATTCTCCAATGGATTTCCATCACTTCATCACGTTAACTTGGGACTTATTCGAAAACAAACGACTGATTTATGGTCAATATCTCCTTGTCTTTAGTTTCTGTCTATTCGTCATGTTAAATTAACAATTATTCCGTTGATTCTTGACTCATGTCCCTATCTAAAGTATCTTCAAGCGCATTTATACCAACAGTATCTTATAAATTCCAAAGTTATCACTACTTTATGGGTAGGGGTGTGAGTGTGTCTTCTCTTCACCCACACCCACATACCCCATAATACCTGATTGAAGCATATAGTAATTAAGAGAAATAAAGTCTTGTCAAACGTAAGGAAAAAAACGTTTGTTCACGATTCGTTTCGCTCAATTAGATTTCAATTCACTGAAGGGGTTGTTCGTATGTACAACAATGTATAACTGAATGACTGGAGCAAGTGATGATAAAAATTTATTGGTGAATTCTACGTCGATCGAAAAGAAAAATACCGAACAATAAAAATATTGAAGTGAAGGTGGACAGCTGTATTTTTCCTCTACATTTTTCTCATTCAACATTTTCCTATTTCGATTTTTTTAAATTGAGAGTAGAAGAATATTAAGCTCAGTACGAACGAAACCATTTATAACCTTTTTGTGTGTTTACTTACTGGAAAGAAAAGAAAGATAATAAGACTTTTCTTTACAATAGATAGAAGAAACATGCATTTTAGTGTTATAACGTTTGATAAAACAAATCTTATCTAAGAAAGAAAGATATGCGAGTGTTAGATCTTGTTTATTGTAGTGATATATGTCAGCTAGGGGTGTCAGGGTTCCCGTTCCTCAAGGGTTCCGTTCCCAAGGAACGGGAACCCACTTGGTTATTCATTTCTATGCATGTTTGAACGCGCTTGAGTTCATAGACATACTTTTTCTTTCGCTTTGAGCAAGTCACTCAGGGTTCCCGGGTTCCGGGTTCCTAGGAAAGGGAACCCACTTAGTTATTCATTTCTGTGCATTTTTGAACACACTAGAGTTCATAGACATACTTTTTCTTTCGTTTTGAGACAAGTCTCTCCGGGTTCCTGAGTTCCCAGGAACGGGAACCCGCATCGGGTTCCTAGGAACGGGAACCCGCCCCGGGTTCCTAAGAATGAGGAACCCTATTGCAAATCATTCAGAATAGAAATTTAGATGTGGTTCCCAGTTTTTGGGAACCCGGTGTGGGTTCCCGTTCCTGGGAACCCGGTGCGGGTTCTCGTTCCTGGGAACCCAGGAACCCGGAGAGACTTGTCTCAAAACGAAAGAAAAGCTATGTCTATGAACTCGAGTGTGTTCAAAAATGCACAGAAATGAATAACTAAGTGGGTTCCCGTTCCCAGGAACGGAACCCGAAACTGACACCCCTAGGTCAGATCATGCTCGGGCCGGGTCGGATCAGATCATGCTCGGGTCGGGTCGGGTCGGGTCAGATCATGCTCGGGTCGGGTCGGGTCAGATCATGCTCGGGTCGGAACGGGCCACAAAAAAAGTGACCCGTGTCGGACACTGGTATCTGTATATAGTAGGAGTTGAGGACCCAAGGGTACCTTCATATAATAGGAGATGAGGACCCAAGAGTACCTGTATATAATAGGAGTTGAGAACCCAAGGGTACTTTCATATAATAGGAGATTGTTATAACAATAATGTGAATGATTAATCCCAGGATCCCGGTACCGGGAATGACCGAACCCGGGAACAACCGAACCCGAGAATGACCGAACCCGGGAACAACCGAACCCGGGAATGACCGAACCCGGGAACAACCGAACCCGGGAATGACCGAACCCGGGAACGGCCGAACCCGAGTAGTTCGGGCTCGGTGCATGCCTACACAGAAAAACTAACAATTACAATGAGAGCAAATTATATGTTGAATACATAAATAATATATGAATACAACAAGAAAAAAATAGCATTAACCCGAGAAGAGATTAGAATTGTTCATTAATGACTTTTGTACGGAACGAACATCTTCGACCATTATTGTTGATTACGTGTCAGAGAAACCAAAATCAAATTTAAGAATAATAACAGATTGCACGTATCAAAAGAGCTATTCATTCACTGCATTTTCCTATAATAGCTCAATACAAGTAATTATCGTTATATTTTTCAATCATTTCTAGATCTGGTTACATCCATAGCATTTCACAACAGAAAAAAAATTGAATTTTTTCGTGCGGGAACGGTCCATGGCAGA